GAAATGCAAAAAATCATTTATTTCGATCAAATATTATCAAATGTAAAGCAATCAGACAAGCTAAAGTCATTCAACCGCATTCATACGTTATTCTCTCAAAAAATGTATATACATTTCATTATCGTACAGAGATAATGCAATATTTATTGAAGAACTTGGCAGAGAGGCATAATCACACAAATACACAGAGGCAGGGGAAGTGTGTGAGAGAGAGAGAGCGCATTTAACACGGAAAGAGCAAGGAGAATATGGTCATTATATATCTCAGCGCAATTTCGATTAACGTTAAATTTCTTTCAATTTCTGTTCTCTGTTCCAATCCATTGCCGATTGGCGTTTTTCTTTCTTCTTCTTCTTTGTTCCATACTTTACACCTAATGGTGATTATCATAATTATGAGAACGATAACGAATTGAAATAGCGGGCACACTATTCGGACTGTTGGGCCAAATCGAACGAGGCGTTAATAAGATTGGTACATTTTAAATTCGCTAACACGAATAAATGTATATTTTTGACATCGAGCCGCCTTTTTTTCTTTCACTTTATTTTCAATCGTGGTGTGCATGAGCAAAAATCGATTGAACCACGCAGTTGAGATCGGACATATGAATTTCCAATTGTATATGAATGCGTTCAGCTAATTATTAAATTATATATCTTTTTTTGTGAAACGAAAAGATTTGCCACACAAACAAATAACAAACAACGATTTGGAGAGTTCAGTGTTTAAGATGGACTGTCGTTTGACTATCAACGAAAAAAACATGAATATCCTGCTAATGAATTTAAATTAAATTCGCTTATTTTATGTGAGTTGGAACGTAGAAGAAAACGATGCTTGGAAAAAATCGATTTGGTTCATCAAATTACCGGTCCGTAAATGAATTCATTGCTTACTGTTACTGAATATAATTAATATAAAAGTGCACTAAGCGGGACTCTCAACACATTTAAATCCATACAATCAGACCAACTGAACAAATGCGTTGAACCTTATATAACATAACATTTCTGTTATCAAACGATTTATACGGCAAAAGAGCGAGAACGAGAGAATACAATTTGAAAATGTTGAATTAAAAGCAAGGCAGTATTAACGTTAATGCACAAATGTTGATTCACATGCCCAATTTGTTCGCCTCGATGTAAAACACATTGGCATCATTTGGCGGTAACTTTCAATGTGTGGATGTTGGCTTCTTCTCTTTTCGCACCGAACCGATAAAATTAATCCATTCATCATCTTACAATATGATTCTGAGGTCTATCCCTTGATGCCTCTCTCGATCGAAAGACAGTCGGTTGTTTTAGTTGGTTCTTTTCATATATAATAATAAATAAGTATAAATGGGTGCATGAAACGATCGAATCGATAAAATGATCGAATAAAAAGAAATTTTTTATAATCATTGAAGAGACAGAGAGAAAAAAAGGTCTCTGTTTAAAAGAGCACGGTTTTTGTATGCTGAATTGCGGTGTACTCGAGAAGGACGAAAGCGTAAGAGCAACCAACAATAATGTAACACATTGGAAAACGGTAGTATGTATAGCAATGTACATTGCAATTCAATGGCATGTATGATATGATGAGTGCGGAGTGCGCCCAAACAGAATGCATGCAATTATTATCTGTTTCTTTTCTCTAATCTTCGAATTGTTCGCTGTCTTTCGAACATATTCCGTGTGTGTTTGGTAACTAAATCGTCATCAAACGGATACACACAATTTACCTTTTGCTACTCAAATTGGCTACCACAAAAATCTACCGGCAAATGAATAATGTTACAACATTGAACGAAGATGAAAAAGAAGCAAAATCACACATAGAAACACTCGGAAACTATTAAAAATTGAAGTGCCATGCTATTGCCGGCTTGTACGATGCACTTCCAACTGCTATATACTCGAATAGCAATTCGAATTCAATGCCGAGCACATGAATCAAGTAATGCAATTTAAAATATACAATGAATTGGCGGTGTGGTAATAATAATAAATATTGTTTGAAGAGAAAAGAAAAAAGAGAGAGAAAGAGAGAGAGAAAGAGAGAGAGCGAGAGAGAGAACAAAATGTACACACAGTCAGGTTTACAAAGAAATTCAAAGCAAAACGAAATTGAACTAAGTGTACTGACATTGTGTTTGTGATTTCACATAGAGCAAAAAAAAGCTACATGAAGCAGCTCCAGTCTTATGTGTACAAAGAAGCCAAATGAATAGATTGCAATTAATAGGACTTCATAGGTACGTTTCGAATAAAAAAAACATACACAGGCGAAACAAATCAAACTATATTTACCACATCCCAAACACTTGAGAGAGTTGCGACGCTAAAACTGCCAACATCTAATGATAACGATGTCCAACATAATAATATTGCTGAAAGCTGTTGCATGTAAAATAAAAAATGATTGTGTTTTGTGTCCCAGAGTGGTCGTAAATTCTTATCTACAGCCACGGTCGATTTGCCATTTGGCTCAATCATTAGCGCACAGATTCAACTTGGCAGCACGTCGAACGATATAACGTTTTCGTCTGATGGACACTGCAAAATGCGCTATTAAACATTCGCTACGGATAAAATAAAATATTACTGAATTAGTCGCTCATAGGCTTCTTTTTTCGAAGTTCTCGAAATCTCTTGAGTATCGCGTAATTCTCTCTTTTTTTCGGTCATTTTCAAGTGAATAATGATTGTGCCTCAAGACTTTCCACTAAACACGCCTAGACAATTTTTATGTTACCACTTTGACAAGAACAAGATGCAAATTCCTTTTTTGTGTCGTAGTTTCTTTAGCACTTGTAAAAATCGCAATAAAGCTTACAGTCACAAAACAAAGTTCATCGCATCCAGCAACGAACGAATCAAGTTGCACCTGTTTACATCATAAAAATGTGTTTTCAACACGCGCCACTTTATTTTCAATTCAAAACACGAAATAATATGATTTTGGAATTTAACAAAAAAAAAAAAAACAATCATTTGGTACTGATTCGACTGATTTTTTATGAAATTTATTTAACAATATATTTTTTTTGCTACACTAAATTCACGGGCAAATCAAACAACAACAAAAATATCGTAAAAGTAGAACAGTAAAATTGAGCAAAAGAGGAAGTAATGATCGGTAAAATTGAAAGACATGCGGTTGTTTATCTGAAATTCAAAGTATTTTCGTTACACGCTCGTATTTGTTTTGCTCATCCGCGATTTATTTATACTATTGGAATAATAATTGGCTGAACAATATTTACTACATCTGCTATTTTCGAGGCTATGATCTCCTTTCCACTTTTCAAATTTTATCTCTTCAAAAAGCATTTCGGAACTAAACACAAAAACACACACACACACACAAACAAGACCCGGTGAAAGCTTAAATGAAAAATTTTCGACGCAAAAAATGGACCACAAAAGCAACAATCGTAACAAAAATCTAGTATATCATACACGATGGATATACAAAACGAAGGTAGCACTATGAATGCAACCAGACTTAACTGCATCCGTGGTTAGTATAAATCAAAATAAAATGAATGCGCAAAGAGTAAGCGATGTGTAATATAATAATAAAATCGCATATATGCGCACTGAACTTATCACAGGTCAACCCCGACGGTTTCGGTGCGCTCACTTCATAATTATTCATTCGGTTTTGATACAATTTCTTTTCTCTCTTCTTTTTTTCATGTATTAATCTTTTTTCATATATATTTATTTGTTACTTCTGTGTTATGGTTCTTGATCATGTTTCTTTCTAACCAAAGACACAATGCGCAAAAAAAAAACAATATTGAGTTTAGAAATTACAACTCTACCGCGGAACCGATAACAAGCCAACAGCGTAGCAGTTTGCTAACCTTTAAAGAGATTTCATTCATGGATCATTTGTTATCGATTCAGGTGGCGACTCTATTGCTAAGCAGTGACCACAATATTGGCGAAATTTGGTTTTGCTTACGAATAAATAGAATTGGCGTGTTCTTTGTCCTAGGTTTTGTCATTTTGTAAAAATCAATTCAAAAATATGTATCGATTTGTTGCATTCAATCGCCAGTCTTATCCTATTGACCTTTAGTTTTTAAAAATAGGAAATCGTGATTTTGCGGGTCAAATATGTCAAACATAGAATCGATTCTCTTCACTGAATTTCTTAGAAAACTGTGTGTTTCTTTCTCTTTTGCGCTTTTTCCTAATATAGATTGTTTTTTTTTTGTATGAAAAGGGAGAATTTCACCGCGCGTATCAACAGTTATTCACAAATAATAAACTAAAACAATATTGGTTGATTACAATTTCTCTGGTAAGAAAACTAATGCATATATGTTCCGACAATAAAAACGAAAAAATATTGTGTGCGCGAGAAAACTAAGCAACGGATCAAAATAATGCTTACATCATTCTTTCACCAAAAAGCGCTAAAGCTACACTTCTGGAAATCATCTTGAGGCAGGCAATTTTAAGAACTCACTTGTTGAGATGTTCTGCTTGACAAATTTTTACTAAAAATGCACGTGAAAATAAATTGCACACAACACCGCGATCATCATTCCATACAACTCGAGCTGTTGTTGTTGTTTTTTTTTCATTCTTTGTGGTTATGCTTTGATGTGCATTACATTCACTATTTTCTAATTGAGAATTCTCTGAGCTGCAATAAATCCATAAAAATATATATACATTACTATACATATATATTGAGCACTACATTAGCCATTGCTACTTGCATTGCTGATGTTTGCATTACCGGTATCTGAATGGTTTTTGTTTTACCTCAGGCACATAAAAAGTTCCATCAAATCCAAAAGCAAAAACTATGCTTATTACACATGACGTACTTCATTGACAGTCCATCATATTGTTTATTGTTTCGATACAAAGCAAATTGATATTGGCACTGAAAGAGATAAAAAAAAGACGATCTTTGAAAACCCAAAACAATTACAATTCCTGTGTGTCATGTTTATGGTTTATTCTAATGAGTGAAAAACTTATGATTTTTTTTGCTTACGAAATGGAATTCTTTTTATTCATAGAAAACAACATTTCAGTTTAAATTCGATGCATAAAAATGCTATGTAAAATCTAAATGTTGAGATGTGTATTTTGAATATATGATGTGTTTTTGAGGTTATTTGTAAGTATCACTGTGTATTTTTTTTATTCTTTCTAGAAAATGTATGTAATGGCATGTTCGACATGGTACGAATAAGTTTCAGGATTTAATCCATGGACAAATGAAAACAAAATTTCATTTTGTTCCAGTCGATCCGAAGCCACCTTCACCACGAGTTGTTTCTGTTAAACTATCGACTTCCTTCAAATTTGGGTAGACGATACGTTCGCAGATCAATTGAGCGATCCGGTCACCTTTTTTCACATCGAAATCAACGTCGGAATGGTTGAATAAAATGACACCAACATTTCCACGATAGTCTTGGTCGATGACTCCGGCACCAACATCGATGAAATTTTTCCATGCCAAACCTGAACGCGGTGCAACACGGCCATACGTTCCAACTGGTACTTCAATTTGAATGTCAGTCTTCACCAAAGCTTTGCCACGAGCTGGAACAACTGCATCGTATGCACTACAGGATCACATTGAACACATTGATTAATAGTGATAAACTTAAAAAAAATATTCGATATTTCTTTATACCTTCGCAAATCAAGTCCGGCAGCCTGTTCGGATCCTTTGGTTGGCTCGAAAGCATGTTCAGTTAATTTTGCCCAGCGCAAAGTTGTTTCTTCTTGTGATAAAACCCTGAAAATCAAAACAAAACAAAATTGCAATTAAATCGAGTTTTTCCAACCAACCAATTTATCAGAATTAATAAATTAAACTTACATTTTGAAGTATTTAGTTTTTCTTAGTAAATTGAACAGTTTGAATATAGGTTTGCAAAAGACAGCTGTGTATCAATTGAAAGCGCAAATGCAGAATAAAGTCATTGCTTGTCTGTTTGCCGCTAAAAATTTGCG